AAATAAAACAAAAAAAAAAAAAAAAAAAAAAAAATCGAACTTTTGAAGTACACTAGCATGGATGGTCTTAAAGCTATAAAGACATGGATTACAGTAAAAAAAAAAAAAATAATAATAAAAATACCAAATAAATTTCTCAAGAGTCAAATTTAGATTTCAGGAAGTCTTAAAGGAGAATTATCCAAGAATTATCCTTACATCAGACATTCCTCAAAGATTACACCTGAGGTTGTATTATAAACCAAAGCACCTTGGTTTGGAATATCAAAGAGCGTTGTAAGTTATGCTAATTAAAGCATCAGATGTGCACTGAGAGGACTGTGAGGTGGCCAACATGCTGAGCTCGGCCCTGCATGGAACTGATAGGCTGTCAGGATGCCGCTGAAAGCATTTGTAATTCTGTTCACGACTAAACTGGTTACAGTCCCAGAGTCCTCTGCAGAGTGTGCGCCGAGCCGAGGCTCAGACTGCGTCATGCTCACAACCCACAGCAGGAGCAGAGACAGAGATTCAGAGACAAAGAGAGAGAGAGACCACAGGCACTGCACTTTAAACGATCAGCGCAGATGTCACACTACGAAATGCTCTCCAGATTCAGCCAAAAAGCTCCAGGTGACCCACTCTTCCTAAATTAATCACATCCAGACGGTGTCGGTTCTGGTCAAATCTGTCATCACGTCCCTATCTGGAAGAATGGACGGAGACATTTTGCAAAACTGCAGAACTACGAGACAAATGCATTAGTAGACAATTTACCCATGTTTAGGCCTAAGCACTAACACCAAAACAGCACTATTCCACCAATGACCTCTCCAAGGTGACACTGCAGTCTGTCTGGATCACATCTGACGTCACGGGCTGCAATTCTGTGGGACGCTGCAGAAGGGGTGGGCGGTGGGCCCGGGGCCGACACCTGTCATCTGCACCATTGTCAATGTTAGTTATAATTAAACCATTCCATAATCTGCACAGTCTATCGGTGCTAAATATAACATCTACCACTATGCACAAAACATACAGCACTGGTTCTACTGCAAAGAGTTAAAGGTTAAAACATTCTACCAGTTCTTTCATGTATCAGATGACCACATCCATCCCAAAAAAAGACCCCGCATGAAGATCCTTTCACACTTTGTTATCATCACAAGTGCTGCTTCAATTCTTTTCTATCTCTCAAGTCTTCAAAAACATGTATTAATGCTAGAAAGCAGGGGCCTCGTCTATAAAACATGCATACGATTAGATTTGATCCTACAATTAAATGAGGAAAAAAAATTTGAGATTTATAAAGGCAGAAACTAGGACTGCATTATTCTTTTTTTTAATAAAACTAAAAGTGTGATATGTCTTAGTGCTATGATAAATCTCGAAGGCTGTGATTCCATTAAATTTGTAATGAGAAGTGATTATAACAGGCTTTAAAGTCGGCATGAAACAGAAGTCTTTTCTTCTTTGCGAAATATGAAAACTTATCGAATGATTAAAAAAAAAAAATGTAGGGTGGGATTTGATTTGGTCCACTGGGAATTGATTGGATCATTGGATTGTTGATGTTTGCTATTGCTGCGATCTCATGTGAGTGACAGGTTGACCCGCTCTTGCACCGAGACATACGTAATCAGGGATGAGAAAAAATGTTGTTGCAAGAGGGAGGGGAAGTTATTTTTATTTAAGATTATGAGGGCACATAAATTTAAAAAAATAAAGATGTGCACAGATAAATCATTGATAATAAACACTGCAATATCCCATAAAAATAAGATTTGTCAATTCTGATTTCATTGTAAGTTTAAGGTCATCCAGCAGTTTTCCACTAAAATGTAATCTTGATGGTTTAATGTTTGGAAATAAAGAAATTAAGACTGCAAAATTATTATATTATTTTTTCTAAAATACCCCTTTTTATTTTACAGTAAAATATTACAAGAGTAATACTTCTTATGTTTAATATTTTTATTTACCACTACTACTACTACTACAATTATTAATATTGTTGCTGTTATTATTTTATAATAATATTGATATACAATTACACCATTTATATGGTGACATATAGTCACAAATTATGCAGCCATACAAACAAGCACAGCAAACCCGGAGCTTTTTTAAATTGCATTTTTTACAAAGCTTGCGTCACTTTTGGAGCAAGGAGTAAGAATCATGATCAGATAATGATGTGGATTTAAACATCAGCGAATGAATCTTTAATTAAACGATGATTTAAAAAATTTGCGATCCATAAAGCAGGATGCATTTAGCAATGTGCGTTTTATGCATCGTCTGCAGGAACATTTGGGAAATTATCATAGGTTTCAGTTTTTAATATCACATTTAATATCATTCTCTACAAGTTTTATGAATGAAGTTCCAGGTACTTCAAGAAAATTAAGCTTCACATACTACATTAATTATTTGCAATAGCTGAGAAATCTGAAAGCCATCTTCAAATGAATATAAAGCAAAACTATGAGAAGCAAACCAAAAGAGCCAACAATGGATATAGATAAGCTTCTAGGTAGAGCATGAGAACTGATGAACATGTGATGAGGACTGACGCACAGTCCATTGAGAATCAACAGGTGCAACCAAAAATACCTATACTCCTATAGTGGAGCTGTACAGGGTCCATACAGAGACCGGAGAGCTGAGAGGCTGTAATTACCTCATATAACAACCCAGAAGTGCAATGAATTCAGAGAAATAAGTGAGTGACACTGTGATCACATAGACTTTATGATATAAAGGCAGCACTTACCAGCGACCTCCACAATGTCTCCAGGCACAATGTCTTTGGCTTTGATCATCTGGACGGTCTTCCTGTCCTGACGGTACACCTTGCCCATCTCTGGCTCGTACTCCTTAAGGGCTTCAATGGCATTTTCTGCATTACGTTCCTGAGATGGAGAGAATCAAATGTGAAAAAAAGAAGATTGTATTCACTGGCAAATTCAGCATTTGAGTTTGGGATGGAACTTTCTGTTAGACAGATGTGAGAAACCCGTTTGATAACAGTCATTATGTGTTCCAATTGTGCAGAAATGACACACTTAAATTTATGACTCTTTTCATGCTCTACTGACCTGCCAAACACCTACGATGGCGTTAGCTATAAGAATTAGTAAGATTACAAAAGGCTCCACAAAGGCAGTGATCGTTTCATCTCCCTCCTCGAACCAGGCTAATACCTGCAATAAAAAAAAAAAAGTCATGTCACAACACGTCCCATTAGATCTAATAAAATATTTGACATTCAGAATACCTCGTGGATATTTTAATACCGGTAGATCAAGATTCTAGTCAAGACACGCCAGTGACATTTACCTTCTCATAACAGATTCAACACAACCAGTTTACAAATGAGACTGTTTAGATTGCATAATCTGCATGATTTGAAACAAAGTTTAAACACAGGAAAAAAAACGGGACCGAGCGGCATAATGAAAGCCCAACGCAGCAGTATGTTTTAATGACTGGAAATAAAACTCCTACAGCTCACTGCAGCCACAGCACGACATCTGTTATTTCCCTCATTAAATGCATTATTACATATGGACTCCTCCTAAAATAAGAAGTTGCGACATCTATTTACTTTCCTTCACATCATAGACTTTTATAGCAACTTAGAGAGCAGCTTTGATTTGCACCTTTAAAAATGGATTTGCATGATCTTTCTCGGACAGAAAGTCCTTAGATGCATAGCATGAAGATCATATGCCGAGACTGAAGCCCTCTAATCAACATCTTGGTGGTGTTCTCACGAGACAGTGGAGTTACTGGTCTGTCTGTGGTAATGAGAAGCCTGCAACTGAAGGTCAGAGGCCTAATTTGGCCTGCAGTGATGCCCTCTTACACAGCCAACTACGAGACAGCTGTCAAACCACAGACTCCAACACCTCAGTATCACTCCGCTGGGTGATGCTGGCATACCTCTCACCTTCCACCCAACCAGCCAGTTTAATCTCATCAGATGGATTGTAACTAATGATTTTGGCCAGCCAAAGAATAAAGATCCTTACTTTTTTTAGTTGTATTATGAGAAAGAAAAAAAATAATAATATTATTAAAAATAATAATATATACAGCAAATATATATACACACACACATGCTTATATAATTATATACGGAATAACAGATTTATATTCCATATAATTTTAACCTTCTTAATATTTAATTTACAGTAAATTCTAGTAGTCATTTTCAATAATTGAATGAATACATAATTAATAAACATATCAAAATTAATATCTTCTATCTTTCATATAGGATATTAACCCATGCGCAGTTTGTACCAACAACTTGTTACTTACTAGGGCCAATCTTTAACCACTAGGCTACACCACCACTATTTTAAGCACTGGTTCCATACATAAATTTGATTGACAAGCTAACTACACAACACTTTTAAGTCTCCAAGCAAACAGCCACATGTCTTCATTCGGTGGTAATCTATCTATGCTAATTAATCAAGAGGTCCTTAAACCATGGCTGTAAAACAGCAGTGCACTACTAAGACATCTTGTTTGGCAGCTAGCGACAGACACTCAATCTCACTGAATGCTGTTGTCACCATTCCTAAGGAGTTCCGCTTCCTCAGCTGTTTAGCCCTTCAGATCTGCGAGTAACCCAAGACGAGGCATGCAAGACTCAAGGAGCTAACAAGACATCTTCACATTCACAGCTCTTCCGGATAGCAGTCGGTGTTTATTTCAGTGCATGTATCGCTGTAGTTTGTTTCTAGTGTAAAGCAATCAACACCTGACATGAATCTGTGCTGAATCACGTCTGAGAAATGGCTGTACTGACTCTATTTGCACTCAAAGAATATTGCACAATAACAATAAGTGCAGAAATCTGCCAGAACATGTTACTAAAATGTACTTACAAAAGATATACAAGCTGCCAATAAAAGAATCCGCACAAGTAAATCTTCAAACTGCTCGATGACAAGTTCCCATATAGATTTTCCTGTCAAACATCAAAATTAAATCGATCAATATCACATGAGGAGTAGAATGATAACATCATGTTATTGTTTAAAATGTAATATTACCTTCCTCAGCAGGCAACTCTGTGTGGTTTATTGAAGGATATGAAAAAGACAAAGTATAAAGTTACAAATACACACCCTGAATACATTCCAAAGCATAAATTGATTTGACATTGACTAAAACACAACTGTTAATTACATTAAGACCTGTGGCTTTATTAGAACGTATTAAAACTCAAAGATTAAATGGAAACATAAAAAAAGATTTAAAAAAACAACAACATTGATGAACACTACTCCCAAGACGTAATGTAATATTTCAGAAGAGATTAACTGTCATAAGCACCTTCCACTCTGAGAGGAAAAATGTGAAAGAATATTTGGTTTTAATCCAAACGAGTTAATATTTTGGCTCCTCTTTGAGCACATGCTGTGAAACATTTACAAGCGGTTTCTGAGCCGGGTGCTGACAGGAATATTTTCATCCATATCTTCATAAAAGCATGATTCTGTATAAAGGATGAAAGAGAAAGACTGGAGACCGGCCTTAGCTATGCTCGCTTTGATTGTCCTGCGACATAATAAATGGGTGGGAGCTAAACATCTCTTTCAGCTTATTTCTGACCTATGTGTGCCTGTTTTCCACCTTGTCAAAGTCAATGAAAATGAGCATGGCAAGCTATTTCAACATTTTTTTTTTTCTAAGTAGCATCCATTTCTATGTCATCAGCACTTATAGACAATACAACTGAGACTAATATTTTTCAGTTTCACTAGTACAGATTTCTTGGCTACATATCACTATGGCAGTAAAGGCAAGTGTCTATTCCATTGTTATTGGTAACGATTTAAAAATGTTTGCCATTGATTTCTATGGGAATCTGTAGTTCCGACTAGTCTGTAGACCAGATGCTGCTGGAACCTATTCTAGTTTTACTAGTAACTATTCATTAGGTACTAGTACTTTTTTTCTATCCCAGTAGTTGCTTCTACACATATTCAAGCTTTACTAGTCCTTATTTATTAGATGATAGTATTTAATAAATAGGGCTGGGTATCGAGTTCGATACTTTTTAGGCACGAACCGAAATGCCTCGATACCATAGAGCAGGGGTGCCCAACCCTGCTCCTGGCGATCGTGACTTTCTCATCACCACCTGCATTTGGTGGTTATCAGTGTATTACAAAGGTACAAAACAGATTTCAGTACTTCAGTAGGTTGGTATATTAACATTATATCAGTTAATGAAATTACGGTATTTAACTGTAAATTTAAGTTAAAACCGTAAAACGTTGCTACCGTATTTTTTACGGTAAAATTCCGGCAACCACAGCTGCCGGTTTTTTACCATAAATTTTACGGATTTTTTTTTTACAGTGTAGCTGCAATTACTACTTTACTTGCCAATGACTAGTCAGGATGACTACTATTAACTATCTTACCAATACACTTAAAAACGCTGAAAGTAACAAATGGAATTAACAACTAGTGTCTATAATTTAGGAAAACCAAGTAAAATGGTGAAAGTAACTAAAAATAAGTACTAGTACCTAAACTACAGAAGTGAACAATATACTAGTCACTACTGAATTGTTTACTAGTAATTTAAGTACTAGTAGCATAAAACCGATATTAGTTAGATTTTTTTTTTTTTAAATCAATGTGTCAGCAGCTTGCCATAAAAACGTGTTTGATGAAGTCAGCCGTTTCGAACGCTCCAGCCGGCTGACTGCAACAAATGTAACAACTTCATGTCAACTTCAAATTGTCTGTCGCGAGTCTCTGGCCGTGAAGAACATAAAAGTATCAGACGTACCGTTGGGACCCCATTTCTCTTTCTGCCGTTTCACTTGGTCTAAAGTCAGTCCCGTGCTCTCGTTGACGCTGAAATAACTATAAACTTCTTCCACACTCTTGGTGTGAGAATTCTCCATTGTTAGATGGGAAGAGAATCCCTCTCAAGAATCTGCCTTGGTCAGAAAAATAGATACGAATATGCCTATGAGTGACACATGCATTGACATCCAATGTAGAACATATGTAGAAAGTTGAGACGGCCAAATGCACCTTCCCGGAGTTTTATCCAAACAGATGAGTTCTTCTATTTTCTTCCTTTTCCCCAAAGAACTGGGAGTCAGTGGAAGCCAAAAGAAAAGATCCTTGCTTAGTACATCACATTCACCCCCCGTCCAAGCCTCT